TTATTGCATCATTCATTGTATTGATCCTATTAAAACGGAAATAACCCATGTGACATAGATAAACAACAAGATTCATCAGTTTCCTACAAACCTTACTTGTAGGTTATCAATAACTCAACATGGTTTTAGATTGGATCAGTTTGTTATTTTGGACTTACGACCAGGGCTGGCCCTGACCACGTGCAGCCAGTGTAGCCGCACACGGCATTAAAGCCTAAAGAGACATGAAGTTGTCATTTGTTACTAGTTTTGGGTTTTATAATTTGAGAATTTGACAATTGAGCTTTAACTATAAAAACAGACCCAAGACCTAGTAGTGATAAATACTGCATGCACATTATTGGAAAAAGTTGAAAAGTTGGAAAAGTTTTTGTTTGTATGAATAAAGTTGTCTGTATGAATTAATCTGTTTGTATAAGTTGGAAAAAAAATTATTAGGGAGAGTTTTTTCGCAGATGTAAGGAGCGTTTTTTTGGTTGGAAAGGACATGTTTGGAAAAAAAAAACTTGGCTTTCTATATAAAGCTCCCCCTATAAGCTTACTAGATAAGTCACTTTATATATTATTAAGCCACTACGAAACAGTCATGCATAGTTGAGCGACTAAGCTGTTAGTTCCGTTAAACTTATTAAATTGCTAACATATAGACCCTTAGTCTTTAATCGTTAAATCCATAACTTTTAAGTTTTACTTTTTACTTAGTATGACAACATAAAAAATGAAATTTCTAAGCTACTTATAAACCTCGAATTATGGTTTATTTTTCCCTTTCATATTATTAGTATTATTTTCTTCCCAAAAGTTTTCCTTTAATAACACTTCATTAGAAAGTGTGCCAAACGTGACCCTGCTTATACTTAAAAGTTCTTTGGCAGAGACTTACATAATTTATATAGCAATTAATACTACTTGTCCTCTACCATCGCATTTATAAACGTTAGAAAAGCACAAGATCTAATACCATCAAACAAAACGAAATTCAGAAGAAAAAAAAGTATGGTGATTTCTCTATTTCCGTCGCCACCGTCCTTGTTCGTCACAGCAATGTCGACGTTGAATTTATTCTCTCTCATTACGGCCGGATACATGGAAATGAATGGCAAAAACAAGCAGTATGCTAAGTTTTTCGACGCTGCTAAGAAACTCAACGATGAAAACTAGCATAAGTTGCTCAGTAGAAACGGGATGCTTCTATTCTACACACCATCGTTTCTCATGGGTCTTGCCTCTTTCGTCATTTTCAACCATCAAGATCTTCGATTCGTTATGGTTGTCTATGTTCTTACCATACATTTCTTCAAGAGGATCCTTGAGGTAAATGCTCTTTTTTTTCACTTTGAATCTATAAACAGTCTACAACAAAATCGATCTTATAGGACATCAAATATGTTTAAATGTTCTAATACACTGTTTAAAAAAAAAGATACATTCACACTTCTTAAAATTTGTCGTATAAAAAAGCTAATAGGACATTTTATTTTAAAACTGTGATTAAAAACTTCTTGCAACTCCCAAAATGGGCCTATCAATTTATTGTTGCATTTCTAAATAGAACGTACATAAAACTGTTTGGTATTATAAACCTTGAGTTTTATAACATTATAGGTTAATTTGCAGGTTCTGTTTGTTCACAAATTTAGCGGTTTCATGATGCTTGACGCTGCAATAACCATCGGTTTAAGCTATGCAGTGTCAACCGCAACAATGATTTACGCCCAATATATATCTCAAGAATCTCCTAAACCTTCTATCGATCTCAAATACGTTGGACTGGGTATGTTCTTGATTGGAATAACCGGAAACTTTTATCATCATTACATTCTTTCGAATCTGAGAAAGAAGGGCGAGCGAGAGTATAAAATCCCGAAAGGAGGCTTATTTGGTTTGGTTATATGCCCACACTATTTGTTTGAGATTATAGAGTTCATTGGAGTCTCTTTCATTTCTCAAACAACATTTGCGTTTTGTTTCGTTGTGGGCACAACGTTCCTGTTGATGGGGCGGAGCCATGCTACACGAAAGTGGTATGCTTCCAAGTTCGAAGAGGAGTTTTGCAAGGACATCAAGGCTTTAATTCCGTACTTATTTTAGCGTTAAATTAGTCGTTCTTCTATCGTATTTACTCACCACCCATATGTACTTCATCGAAATTAAAGAACGCGATGTTTATTTTGAAGCTTAATTTAGATGCACGTATTAGAATTGTAATGCATTTGAGTCTTTTTTTTATTAACCTCGATATCCAACCCGCTATACAAGTCGACTGATCCCAACAAGACCACTTTACATGTAGCCTTGAGTCACCGCATTTGAACCTTCATAACCATGAAGGGAATTTTTATTCCTGAGAGAGCTTGACAATATTTTGCATTGCACATCTTTTTCCTGTTCATGAGGATCACCATGTTGTATGCATTCCAAATCTCGAACTTTCGTCCATCCTCATTGAAAACTTTCGCAACTCGTTCCTTTGATGCATCATGTTGTTTACTAGGCATTTTGGAAGATAAAGAGGGAAAGAAATGAGAATTGAAAAGTGGAAATGTGAACATTTTTTACGAGAAACGAATACGAGCCGAAATCACAAAATGTAGCAAGAATTGTGAACGTTTTTTTGCGTTTGATAAGTTGGTATCTTACCACATACACCATAACACTTATATATGGTGTTTAGGGGCCAAAATGACAAAAAAAAAAAAAAAGGGTCAAAAAACTAAAAAAACAGAGTTAACCGCTATATTTTTGAAATTTTCATGTCAGACCGCGCTGGTCCCTCGAATCCTCCCAAAACCAGAACCAGTTTAAACCGCAGTTCTATAACCGGTCTATACCAGTCCCGGACCCGAGTTGTTCCAAAATTGCCATGTCTACTACCATAGTATAGTACCAGCATGTAGTGGTCTGCAAACAAAAATGATATGATCCGGAATTCCATATTAGTAATATCTGAAGGGAATAATATTACAATAGAATTGAGATGTGTGAAAGTTGAACCATAAGCACATATGAACGAATTACTCTGTTGTTTAATAACGTAATAACATTGATATCAATTTATATCAAATAATTTATAATTTTTATGCAAAAGATTGATTACTGACAATTCTGAACGGTTTCTTATGAAACTAGACACCTAAGAATCACATGTGGGTGACATTTTAGAATTGACTAAACGATTGAGGTTAACAAAGTACTTTAAGCCTATCTCACGCATGATTTAAACTTGAATATGTTGTGTATCTGTGCAAATTCATTCTACACATTTGTCAACCGATCTATACATCCAAGAACAATAGTGTATGATATTGTTTTCATTATAATACTACTTTCATTGCAATGTAAGATTTGAGACGTTTTAGGGGCCGTTTACCAAACATTTACCCGGTAAGCACATTATCAGTAAAATTCAATACCATTATTTACTTATCGGATAAGATTTTAGTTAACAAAAACGGTTTTTTATGCATCAATTTACCCGGTAAGAGTCATTGCCCTCACTTACCGGGTAAGACTATCAGTCTTTGTCTCGTTTTTAGTTCTTACAGGATAAGATTTTTTGTCCTTACCATATTCATCCGATAAGATAATATAACTTGATAAATGCTTACTTCAATAAGTATTTGGTAGACAAATCCTTATAAAATCTGAAAGTGCATAATAAATAAAATAATTGAAAAACCCACAAATCAAATAGTACCATGTTAAATTCTTTCCAACCAGACGATTCCAGGAAAGCATAATTTTTAATTATTACATCTGGTTTCATATTTCAAACGAATAACTTTTATTTGTAATCTTTTGATCGAAAAAAATCGTTATATTAATTATTTTTATTTTTAGAAATATAATGAACCATGTATTATAAAAGCTACAAAGTACGATTCTCAAAATTATAGAACTTTTTGTCATCAAAGTTTTTTTTAAGAACTACGTGATTTTCTTAAATTAAAACACAATACTGTTTTTTATGTCAAAAAAATATTCTTATTCGTCATCGTCTTAAAAAAAATGCTCTAATAAACCTCGGATTTAATTTTATAATTATCACTAGTCTACCCACATTAAACTAATCCCTATAACATTTTAGCCTCAAAGATACAAAATCACCAAAATAGGCACAAGAACCACAAAACGGATTTGCTAACTGTACAGGATTTTGTGAGTTAGCCATGTATGAACGGTTTCATGATCTGTTATTGAAAAGTTCAAATGTCATAGTCTTCTTGCATCTACGTCAAGAGAATTTGTTCGTTGGTTTGGTAAGGGTGAAAAATGAGCGTGAAAGACGAAATGCTTGGGCATTTATAGTGGAGGCCACAAGATCCAATTAACAAAAATAGCTTTATGCTTTGCGTGACTATTTCGATGATTTCATATTTTTTAGACTAAAATGCATTACAATAGAACATGTTAGGCCACCTAACATGACTTCGACTAGATTAGTTATTAACCCACAATAATTTCAAATATATATATATATATATATATATATTATTAACCTGGATATACAACCCGCTATGCGAGCCGATTAATCTTAGAACGGTCACTTTCTTTGCAGATAACCCGAAGTCACTGTATTTAAACCTCCGTAGTCACAAATGGATTTTTATTATTAATTGGATTTGAACATGTAGCCTCCAAAATAATTCCAAATATTTGGAGACAATGACAAAAGTTATCCGACTAACCCAAAATTCCCCACAAACTTCAACCCGTGACTGCTTCTGCCATAACAGATTTCACGTGCCAAACTCATCAAACTACCACCCCCTAAAATACAATTTCTTCTCCATTTCACCCTTGTAATTTACATGTTTTACATATTAACCCCTTATACTTCCCACCTCTTAAAAATCAAGTACAACAATAATGGTGTCTTTTGTGACAGATTGGCGTAAAGTGGGGGCCTAGTAAGTAGTACCTATTACCTAAGTTCGAAAGCTCCCACCACATTTCCACGTGTGAATCTATGATTTGTGGGAGAACCTAGACTTTTGATCCTATCTAGCCAGTTTCTCAGATAAAGCAATTAAGATCTGCCACGTGGCATCACCTTCTTCCACGTCATCATTAAATAGTAGGGCCCGCTGCACCTTCGGGTCCCTCAGGTTTCGCTGGATGGCCGAGAGGTTCGTGGCTGCCACGTGATCAAGTATCCGGCCCAGTTTCCCGACGTCCTTTTCCGCCACTGTGAGAGATATCTCCGACCAGGGCACTGCGTCTCCGAAGGGTAACCGGATTCCATCCGCAATAATCACCGGGACGCAACCCAATGCCACTGATTCCACGAGTCTGGGACTCCACGGAGCCCACCCGAGTGGACACAAGCAAAACACCGACCGTACGATTTCCGACATATATCCGGAGAACCGTCTCCTCCTCAGGTAAAACCTCCGGTCATTCCCATATTTCCGCAATATCTGGGTCCTCACGCGCCTGCCATGTTATTTTTAAGATAATTAATTGCTAGGGGAATTTTTGACATTAAAATGAAGAGGTTCATTTTGATGATAATTAAGGAGAATTAATTATTACTTGCTGTAAAATTGACCGCTGACATTCTTGGGGTGGACTTCCATCTTTCCCCGGAAAAACACGAAAATGTCCCGACGACTAGTGATCGGTAACGTTGACATTATTGACTGAACTTTTTCCGGCGAGACGTAGGGTGGGATGACGATATTCTCAGCATCTTGGCATGGGTGGTGATACTTAACACCGAACGTCTGTAACACAATCGAATTCTTCATGAACTCCGGTATGCCTTCGGCAACGGCTCTACCTTCCTAATTCATTGAAGAAACAACAAATTTTCAGAAAACCCATGATCAATTCCATGCTATCAAATTGAGATCATCGACAGATTTGTTATTCTTTTTCCTTGTACCATGGCATGGAAACAAGCTCCGTAGTCGTGAGAAGCGACGAAGATATGGTCGGAGCCATTGTTCCTGTACCAGAAAGGAAGTTCCGATGAGATTAGCTCAACTGCAGACGATAGAAGCCCACGTGCATGTACCATATCCGGGAAGCCATTAACGGTGCTAAAGTTGCATGAAACATAAACGGGAACGAAAAAGAAGTTTGCCACCGATGGATCAAATGTCCGTACTTGGCTGTGAAGCAATGCTTTGTGTATGGCCACCTCCGACGCAAATAAATGGTTGCCACACCGCTCGTTTGAGATCCAATCGCTGTTGTATTTGGACGGAAGTTCGTATACGTACACTCTCAACTGCATCAAAGATCTGGGCTGCAGACGGACAGCAGCGTGGGAGAGGACACCGGAGATCGAGCCCAATTGCGTCGCCGGACGGTGGTTACCGATGGATGTAGCAAAGAAGTAAAACGAGAGAGAAACCCAGAGAATCCATTTGAAGTATCTGAAGAAGAAATAATTTTCTGCCTTTCCGTGTCTGCTCCGTAACAGCTTCATCCTCACATAGAATCCCTTCCTCTTCTTATTCGATCCAAAAACCTCCATTGTTGAAATCTCTGATCTTGAAGTAATCAAGAGCAAGAACAGTTGATTGCTGGTAGAAAAGTAAATTGGTTACAACGGGTTTGAAGAAGTAGAAATCAAGAAACCCAAAACTTGATCTGTAAACCAAAATCAACCGAAAAAGAAAGATAATATCGTTTCTGGGTCAATTTCGGACAGAGGAAAATTCAAGAACAAGTGGGGGAGATTTTGGACAAGTGATGATGGTCTGGGGGTGTATATTTCTTGGTTCAAATGAAAGGATGAATTGACTAAAATGTCCTTTGAGTTTGATTGTAAGTATGCAATGAGGGGTTGTACTCTGTGATCAAATGGGCAGGAGGTGAGGTTGGATTGAGGGGCAAAGTTGGGATGAAAAAAAGGAAAATGAAGAAAATGGAAACTGGAAAGGGGTATCTACCAGCAGTCGTCAGGCATATCATTTGGTCTAAAAACACTAAAAAGATTCGGATTTCAGTATGTTTTTTTTATTAGCCTCGATTCCAACTCGTTATGTGATTCGACTAATCCCGTGACGATCACCTGTTATTTTACAGATAGTCCGGAGTCACCGCATTTAAACTTTTATGGCCACAAGGGAATTTTTATTCCTCCTTGGATTTGAACCTGGAACCTCTTGGTACTTTTGACCTTTAGAGTCAAGCTCAAACCAATCAGACACCACCCTTATTATTGGATTTCAGTATCTTATCGCGTTGGTTTACCAATTAATTAATTGTGTTAATATTTTAAACATGAAGTGTGTATCATATCTTTTAAAATGTAATTTTTCGTCATTCTAAATTTTTCATTTAACTTATCAATTAGTTTTTATATGTAGTAATTTATCAATCATCAAATTGAAAGAAATGTTTAACATAGAAGAGTTATTGTATTTTGTATTTTTTTTTACACAGTTTCATAAAATAGTTATAAATTATGTATCTATAATTTCACAATTATATTTCAGTTCAGTCATTTTTAAATAACTTTGTTGGTTAGTTTAACTAATAATAAAACATGGGTCTTTGGAAATTCGTCTCAGAGGCCACCAGTTCAAGTCATGTAAGGCTACTAGAGATTTTTCTGACTATTCTTCGGGCTCCCGAGATCAGCTGCGATACACACAAGCTGATTTTTAATTTATATATGTTAGTGAACTATTTATTTTTCTTAATGAAAAACTTGAAGGACAAGGTAAATTTAGAAAAAGTTCTAAGTGAATGTATTAAGATAGGATTAGCTAACTCAATATACCTTGATCAATTAAGCTAACCACTTATTAAGTTAAAATCAAACACGTTAATATAACTTAATCAATTAATAAACTAACCACCTATTAAGCTTATTAAGTTGAATATAAACTTTTGATTAAATGACTAGATATTCCCTATTTTTAAAAAGGACTATACTGAAAATTGTGTATCACAGGCAATCTCATGAATCTCTTTTGAAAACTGCTAAAATTCGGAAAAAGATAATTTTGAAAATATGTCTCTCGTTGTTGGGTCCTGACCTAGGCATTGGCTAAACCTTAGGAATCTTAATGTCATTTAGTCTTTCAGATCCTCTTATCGTTATTCTATTGCAATAATTCTTGCTAAGAATAATACCCATGTGTGGCAATTCCTCGCAAGACAATGAGTTACTTCTACGACAAGTCATTATAAAACGCTTATGACTTGAGCCTTTAGGAATTCTCCACATAAGTCATCGGTTCGAATGACCACAAGGATTTTTCTAGCTATTCTCCAGAGTCTTTGAAATTAACTGAGGTTAACCAAATAACGTGTGATAATTTGTAATCTATTATATGTATCTATGCTATATTATAAAGCATTTGACAAAAACTCTCAAAAACCATTTTTTATGCATAAAGTGTTGTTTATTAATGCATGTTACTTAAAACTCAATATTACAAGTAGATTGTGCGTAGGTACAACTTATTAAAGCTCAATATCTAAATTATTGTAATTAACTGCATATCAACATAATCAAATACAGGATAAACATCTCATTTTAAATATAAAAAATCTAAAATATAATTAGAATAATCTTTAAGTTCTAACAGAATACTTAATTATTACATTTATAAAATGTTATATTATTAAACCAAAAATAAATTATTTCATTATTAAACTTAAATTAAATTATAATAAAAAAAATTAAAGAAATTACATAAAAAATGAAAACTTTTAAATAGTTGATTTGATATTAACATTGATATATTTTTTTTCAAATTTTTATGATATTTTCAAATTTATATTTTAATCAAAAATAAAATCATTATTGGTTTCTTAAAAACACATAAAATTGTATTATAATATCGACAGAGACAACGAATTAAATAGAATATCAAAATTGAAATATATCTCGCTGTATTGTGCGAGTACCGTTCTAATCATTCAAAATATATTCATTGATTTATTGGTATTAGTTGGACTAAATATTATCGCAAGAAGTTAGCTAAGAAAATGAGGGGTGTGAAAAGTCAAAAGACAAAAAGTGTTGGACTAATAAGTAATAGACACTCTACCCACTAGAAAGTGTGTATGAAAATGAAAAGGTGATTGATGATTGAAGCAATTTCCATATTCATGCTATTGCCACACATCTTTGCCAATATTCCACTTTACTCCCCTTTATAAAATTACATACATCCCATTGTATTCAATGATTTTGGGGAATCATTTCTTAGTATAATCATTCATTGATTGCTCATACTTCAAGTACAAGACTCATTCATAATCCAACTTTATGCAACTTTAATCAACATCATCAATTATCTCCATCCAATATTTTAAAATTAGCCAAGGAGTGTCTGAGTTCTTGATCTTGTAGAAGGTCAAGGGTTCAAATTTCATCAAAAATAACTATTTAGTCTATTTATCATATATAAATATTATATATCCATGCTATATTATAAAGCATTTGACAAAAACTCTTAAAAACTAATTTTTATGCATGGCGTACTATTTATTGATGCATATTACTTAAAATTCAAGATTACAAGTAAATTATGTATAAAAACAACTTATTAAAGCTCTATGTTTGAATTCGTATAACTAACTGCGGATAAACATAATCAAATAGAGGATAAACATCTTGTTTTAAAATATAAAAAATCTGAAATATAATTAGGATAATTATTAAATTCTAAGAGAATATTTAATTATTATCTTTATAAAAATTATATTATTAAACCTAAATTAAATTATAATTAAAAATTTGAATTAAGAAAATTACACCAAACACAAGAACTTTTAGAAAGATTAATTTGATACTATATCGATATATATATTTTTTAAATTTTATAATATTTTTAAATTTATATTTTATTCAAAAATAAAAACATTATCGTTTTCTCAAAACCACATAAAATCGTATTATATCGACATAAAAAAGGAATAAAACAAAATTGTATCTCGATGCATTGTACGAGTATCTTTCTAGTACTTTAATATATATATATATATATATATATATTCTAAAATCACAATCTTTTAAAAAAAATCAAAAATATAATCTTTTTTCTATCCATACCTCAGATGTATAAATCTTGATTCATTGAATCATATATAATTAAACTTAAAACAATCATATAATTTTAAAATTGTCTCAGTAACTTGATCAACCTTAACTTGTACTCTTTGAACATATACCAAATATCATTAGTTTCTTGTTTTCGTTAAAAAATGATTTATAATTTTTGTCATAAAAAAAACTATTGTTTGATTTTTTTGAATTAAACGAGTGATTTGATTAATTTAACTAAACCAACAAATATCAGTTTTTCGTATAAAAATATGATAATTGGATGGATAAACCACAATGACTTGAAATGAGTGCTTGATGTTTGTAACCATTTACTTTAAAGTCCTGTGAAAAGTCATTGTGGTGTGACGAAAATTTTATTGAAAATTTAAACATTTGCAGTAATTATAAATTTTATGGTTTTCCAGTATAGTTTTTGTTATATAAGTTTTATAACTTTTTAATTTAAATAAATATATCTAACTGATTGGCTCAACTATGAACATATGATATCTATGCGTCACCAACTCAACAAATAATCTGGTATTTTAATAAATAAGATGTTTATTTGTGCATTGATAACAATATTAATTCTTGATGTAAGTTTTGTAATTTTTTTATAATCAAAAGTTTTTCGATTCATATACGATAATAAATTTAAATATAAGAAAATGTATACGAATACATAATTATTTATGCAAGGGGGACATTTTGTATCGCTTTCGGTGGCAATGTTGGTCACATGAATTTGTTCTCTTTAACATGACACCAAATCCAAAAGGATTAACATGTATTTACATTTTTAAAATAATAATATATAAAACTATTTAAACAAACGTCTAATAATTGAATGTGTTGTGTTATTGCATGATAAAATTTACGAGTAGTTAATTATATGCATTGAAATCTTTTAAATGGTGAATATGTTAATATAATAGATTATTTAAATCAATTCATACATTTATCAGTTTGTAAAAATTAACACTTTTATTTAATCCAGATTTCTTATTTCAACACCATCTTTTATAAATCTGAAATGAAATAAGATTTTAAAATAAAAACAAACGCCATAAATTCTCCTAAATCCATTTACTTAAAATTAAATTGAAAACTTGGACCAGCCACATGGGCCAACCACGGCCCATACAAATCCCCATTTTTCCACAATAGCATTAGCAGCCTCATCGAAAACTTGGAAATTTAAAAATTAAGTATTAAGATAAGTTTATGATACAATGTAAATGTTTGTATATATCATTTTGAACCTTATGGGTCGTTTATCAAATGCAAATTCGGGTGGTGCTTACCAAGTTACATTATTTTATCAGATAAATATGACAATTACTAAAAAATTTATCCGGTAAGAGCGAGACAAGAACCGATAGTCTTACCCAATAAGTGAGGGCAATGACTCTTAATACGGCCAGCTCTTACCGACTAAATTATTGCATAGAAAGCCGTTTTTTGTTGACAAAAATCTTACCCGATAAGTAAATGATAATGTTGAATTTTACCGCTAAGTGCTTATCGGATAAGTGTTTGGTAAACGGCCCTTTAGATTACTACATAAGATGGGTTTAAGGGGCAATTTTCACGAGGTTCTAGGAGGTAGAGTCCCCTTGGAGTGAGGTGGTCCCATTGATCGATAGGCCAATGCGATGCAAGGCTAACATCTGGTCCCAAACGGTATGCACCAAGTAATATTCAAAAGACTTGTAGCTTTTTGAATTTCTATTTAGAAAGTGTGTAGCCTTCTAAACTTCTACGTAGAAGGCTAGACTTATGGATTTCATATCAAAATGTGGGACTTGGATTCAGAAGGCAAGTTGTATTCTGAACTTTGTTGCAGTAACTTTTGTTGATTTTATCCGTTACTGTTATTTGATAATTGTTTATATTTTCAAGTAACTACTTAACCATTGCAAATTATCCCTACAGACAATTACAAGAATCTTCTGGTTGAATACTCGAGTTTTTGTCTTGGAACGAGAGTTTAAGTTTGGATTATCACAATACAAATTTCGTATAACCCAAGGTTAAGGGTCAAAATATTGTATTTGAAAAGTGATTTCTGATACACGATTCAATACTTTATCCAAGTAATTCTTACCACAAACCAAAAACTCGAACATTGATTATAGACTAAGGGGCCGTTTACCAAACACTTACCAATAGGTGCTTACGGGTAAAATTTAACACTATTATTTACTTATCGTGTAAGATTTTAGTCTACTAAAGCGACATCGTATGCAACAATTTACCAGATAAGCGCTTACCATGATAAGAGTCATCGCCCTCACTTACCGGGTAAGACTCTTGGTCCTTGTCTTGCTCTTACCGGGTAAGATTCTTAGTCTTTACCATATCATTTGGTGAGGTAGTGTAACTTGGTAAGCGCTTGTCCAAGTAAGTGTTTGGTAAACGGCCCCTAAGAAGTGTTGTATGTTAGAAATTGTAGTCGACAAGAAAATATAGAAAACGACCACGAAACATAATTTGCAAATGCGTTGAACACTATATATGTTCAAAATTATATTAGTCCCCACCGTACATTATATGGGGTGTTCTTAAAATCTTCTACGAACATCATTAGATTTTGGAATTTAAGGACAAAATAGTAACGTTAAAATCAATATCAAGACCTTTGCATATCAAGTAGGCACTTGTTTATATATATAAACAAAAGATTATGATGGTTGGAACATGATTTTCCTCCATCCGTGCCAAATAATCAACAAAACCGTCATTGCACATATGCATGGTAATCACACCGTCAAACAAAATATATCGACACGATTGCGTGTGTATTTCTGTAGTGACTACGCCATCCAGGGCCGTCCTTGGAGGAGGGCGGGCCGGGCGTACGCCCAGGGCCCATAAAAATTAGGGGCCAATTTTTTTTTAATGTATATAATAGTAGTTCAAAAAAAATTAGTAAATAGAAGACACATAAAAAATTAGTATCTAACATGACAAGAAAATATTTTTGTACTATATTAACTATTAAAAACCCGAACATGTATGAATTAAATATATTGGAGAAAAAATACATAAAGATGTTAATTTGTCGTTCATTATATAATATTATTTAATGTTTTTCTAAGTTTTTTTTAATCTAAACCGACGTCTAAAACTACTTGCTTCGATAACTTGGATATATTATCCATAATTTATATCCCACCAACTCTTTTAATTGTTCCATTTCGCATGAATTCTATTTTTATATTAGAATATGATAGATTTTTTTTTGTTATTAGCTAACAAAACCCCCCATTTTTTGAAAAAGTTACCAATCATATAAGACGGTACAACTCATATCTATATTTAGAATAATAAAATTATAATTATTTTTACATAGTTGTTTTTTATTATCTAATATTTAGTGTATAAATCTTATGTACTACTCTATCCCTAAAAGAGAAATAAGATCTCAAACTATCACCAACATGAGTTTTTTAATTTATATAATGGATGATTCTAGAAAAGTTTATTTTAACCCTAACTTTATATTCTTGAGTCTTCTTTTACGTAGGAAAGAGAAGAAAGTAATGAGGAAGAAAAATATTTTATTCTCGAATTTTTTTTAGGGAAAGGAAAAGAAAAGGAAAGGAAAAAAAATTATATCAAAATTTGTTTTTCTTTTATTATTTTTCCTTCCTCTCTCTTCTCTATTAAAAACACAAATAAAAAAACTTTATTTTTCTTCTTTCCTTTTCCCAAATTCAAAAACATAATATAAAAGTTTTAAATGGTGTTAATATTCCCAAATTCGAAAACATAGTATAAAAGTTTAAAATTGTGTTAATCTTCCCAAATTCAAAAACATAATATAAAAGTTTAAAATGATGTTAAAAAACATTAACATGAGATGACATGGAAAACAACCTATTTACGTTGATTTACATAATGTCACTCGGAAATAAGAAGAATCGACTTTGTGATTCCAAATGATATCATTCTATGTACCAAAAATATATCATAGGATGTTTTGTTATGATGAAACAAATTACTGATACTACATAAAAATGTTCTAGTAGATAATATTAATTTTAGAAATGAGTATTGATTGATTTTGCGTCCAGGAATACTCGGAAAAATGGTTTTATATGAATTCAATGTTATGTATGATGATAAAAACAATATATTGAAAAAATATCGTATTTATCGAGGACCCCTTTTTACATCTCGTCCAGGACCTAAAAAATGTCAGAAACAGGCCTGACGCCATCCAAGATAATATATCGGCACAACTGTATGACCGCGCATAGGTACCAAATAAGAAAAATGAAAAATCATTTTCTAGCTTCCTTAAATCTAATTAAAACATTAGAGGAATGTGATGTTTACAAACCACGGACATACCACCGTGTCGTTCCTCTCTCGTAGTGTAAAAAATTATAAGATCGTTAAAAGTGTCACCGTGTATGTCACTGTACATATTTTGAAATTATAAAAAGGTCACAAGTTTCCATTGATAGATGTGATTATTGCAAGGCTTTTCTTCCACCCTAGACCCGAGCTTGGATCACGTTAGTGTCATTTTCTTAGTTTTTAGCTTTTATTTTCATATTTATTATGTTTTTGGAAAAAAAATTTGCAGTAAAATATTTAAACACAATTCCTTACATATAAAAAATAAACAAACTAACCAATAGATTAATGGTGATTTTGAAAAAAAAAATATATTCTTATATTTGTTTCTTATACTCAAACAGTACCATCACTTGAAAGAATTTCTACACCTGTCTCTGTTACAAACCCACCTACCTTTCACTTTCTCATCTATACGACAATATAAAACACAACGTTTATATACTAAGAAATTATTTAATTTAATCGTTGCAATTGTAATTTCAGTGGTCGCTTACTTTAATATAATTCGTTGTTTTGTTAAATACGGTAATTCGTTTACAACAAAACAGCTTGTACGTTATCTTTAAGAAACACCATCAGTTATCCATATACTTTTAGGAAGTTAGGTTCTGATGAGACGCATAACTTTTCGAATCCTAACAAATTGTATCCATCAAAAAAGGGTTGGCGAGTTTGACATGCTTTCATATAATCGAAAACAAAACATCAACTCAATCTAAAAAAACCCAACTTTTATAAAGTCTAATAATTTTGTTACACATGATTTGGTAAAAATACGAAGTTCGTAAATACCTACCATCATGATAAGTGTAGTATTCCTTCTTTTTAACTTTTACAATAACGATGATTTATTTGCACAAAAAAGATTTGTGATAAAAAAATTGTTCATTCGTTTATGGTATCGAAGGAACAAACTTTTAATGGGGTTCAACATGTTCCTCTCGTTGTAAAAATGCTTATGGGTGCTAAATGGGAATTACTCCGAACGCGATTCACATTCATCAGGTGCTTTTGATGTTACTATTTTCAAGCCGAAACAAACTTTGCGTACATGTTTTTTGTGCCACACAACACCACTTAACAAGTCCTTAATGACTAGACTACTATATTTGGACTCACATGATAGTCTTAGAATGGGACGTGTTTTGTATATCCCGTATCCGGTCACTAATCTTCACATGCTAGTAAAGATCCAACCTTTTTTTAGAATTATTGTTTTATTGTCCAAACCCGCTTTTCAAATAATGAACCCTTATCTGATTAGTTGTACTGGTTACAAATCTTTTTACACACTCAACACTTAAACATCAAATTTTATATATATATATATATATATATATATATATATATATATATATATATATATATATTAATTATAAAACATTTAACAAAAACTCTTAAAAACCATTTTTTATACATGAAATACCGTTTATTGATGCATATTACTTAAAATTCAAGATTACAAGTAAATAATGCATAAGTATAACTTATTAAAGCTCTATATTTGAATTCGTGTAACTAACTACAGATAAATATAATCAAATACTAGATAAACATTTCATTTTAAATATAAAAAATCTAAAATATAATCAGGATAATCATTATCTTCTAACAGAATACTTAATTATTATATTTATAAAAAATTATATTATTAAATCAAAAATAAATTGTTTTTTTATTAAACCTAAATTAAATTATAATAAAAAAAATTGAATTAAAGAAATTACACAATAACATAAGAACTTTTAAATAATTAATTTAATATTAATATCGATATGTTTTAAAAAAAATTAAGATATCTTTAAATATATATTTTATTAAAAAATAAAAACATTATCGTTTTTTTTCAAAAACACATAAAACAGTATTATAACATCAACAGGGAACAAAATAAAACGAAACATTAAAATCAAGATGTATCTCGTTAGATTGCACGAGTACCCTTCTAATATATATATATATATATATACACACACACACGAGTGAATAGAAACCAGGTCAAGCATTTGTAACTATGACAAGAAAAAGTGTTTTGGCGTTACTTATATATAAAAATATATTTGTATATATACAATAATACAACACATTCCTAAAAAAACGACATGTCGGAAATAAAAATAAAAAAAATAAGAAAAAGACTTGATGGATGGTTGACCCAAATAAAGCCACCCTCACCCACCATCAACGCATGCTTGCACAACCGACCCTAGTGCAACAATGCCATCTGGTAGGTGCTTCACGGATTAAGCTTTCCAACCAAATAGCTTAATCCCATTTTCTTCACCCTTATCTCTCTTTCTTCTTTTCTTTCTTTCTAGAATTGCCATCATTTCTTTCTAGACCAAATTAAAGCAAAAACATGATGTTTTCTTGCGAGTATGAGATGGGTTTTTGGTTACTGGGGTTCGGATCGAGTTCGAGTCACTTGAGCTTGGTCTCTAAACTTCTTATAGATATCCCCATTGTAAAACTCTCTAGTTCTAATCACCAACAGTAATGAAGCAAAAGCACCAAAGCAACAAACGCAGGCCAAAATGATGAAAGAAAGCCTATAACAATGGCTCCCCATGCATACCAACTCCTTCACTGCTGTCCTATCTAACCCTTTCTTTGCAAGCTCCTTCAATGCTTCTCGATCGTACAAAGGTCCTGTAACCCTTACGTTTAAGATGTAAGACCCCAATGGGCTTCCCAATTGTCCACAATTGAACAATGTTGAGTAGTATTTCAACCCGAAAAGCTCTGAGATGATCGCAAAGATCAACGGCAGCTGTGCCCCAAATGAGAATCCAATGATGATGGAGGCCACGTAGACGGATCCGGGTATCGGAAACGCGATCAAAAGGAGGCCGACACACGAGAGGAAAAGTACAAGTGTGAACATTAGTGGCCTTGGGAATTTGTACTTCACCAGCAAGATTTCGGACACGAATCCGGCGAAGATCCGTCCAAAGTAGTTCCAGATGCTTAGAAGTGAAACAAATGATTTCACGGTCTTTAGAGGGTAACCCAAAGATTCACCAATTTGACCCAAATTGTCAACTGCAGTCAAGCTTGTTCCAAGCCCACAAAAAGTTGCAACAAAGAGAATCAACATATCTGTGCTTAAAAGTGCTTGTAAGATGTTGTAATCTTCTCCTCTTTCAGGCTTATTCAAGAACACATTTGCAAAACAAGATGTTTTCGCTTTTGATTGTGCTTTTGGAGATTCTGTTTCCAATGATGAAGGGTTCGGAGATTCATCTTCATGATTCATATTCTCAATTTTAACCTCAGGAACAATGATTGGTGGTTGTTTGTTTTGCTTCCAGAGGATTAATTCCTGTTTAATTGCTATAAAAAGAGGAACGAAGAGTACGAAAATTACCACAGAAGCACTTCCAGCAAAAGCCCTTTGTGAAAACGTCACTAGATTCTGAGCAATCGTCATCCCCATGATGAACAAGGCCAGAAAAATCGAGACGTATAAGAAATGGTAGAAGATCCGAAGCTCATTTGGTTGTCTCACCAGGTCCATCTTCCGGATCGTGTACACAAACACCACCGAAATCGCGGCCGGAAGCCACGCGATTAGTAAGATCAACGATTTTGAATCGTTGCCGTAAACAGCTAAGTAGATTTGAGTCATGATGGCTCCACTTAATCCGGTGAAACCTTTCAATAATCCAAGCACAGCTCCCCTGCTTTCAGGAAAATTAGAGACCGACGTCACCAGTGCTCCGGTGTTGGCGAAATTCTGTGAATTCGCTCCGATGCAAATGTAGAGACACATCTGCCAAATTTTAGGTTTCGAGATTCGGTTGGTGACGGCCATCCAGATCATGAAGTAACCACCGAAATTCAAGACGGAGCCGAGCAAGAGGACGAACCATGTCGGAGTAACCTCAGCAACAAGACCGGAGAAAACACCGACATTGGCACCAAGGTCCTTGAAGAAGCCGAGGAGGTTGAGCGTGGTCTGGTCGTAGCCAAGGGCGGATTTGATGTCTTTGGAGTAGACGCCGAAGAGGTAAGTGGCTCCGGCTCCGGTCATGACAAGGAAAGAAGCGAAAAGCGAGAACCACCGTCCCCGGATGACGTGGACGGCAAAGGGTAGAGCAGCACCATTGCCGGCGTTGGTAGTTGAGGGTGCTTCCCCCATGGTTCCTCTGTTTCAGGGAGTAGTGGAGTTAGATGGGCTTGTGCGAGAAAGGTCACGGATAAATGTTGATATAAAGATATTCTAAACGGTCTTATTATATTATTATAAAATATTTTATATATTATCTCTAAAAAAATTACGTTTTTGGTCCATCTGGTTATTAGAAATTATTTTCGTCCATATTATTTAGAAATTCCGTTTTCTATTTCTGTTATTTATAATTTATTGTTATTTTTGTTCTTATGATTTATGATTTATTATTGTTTGGTATCTATGATTTATAACTATTTATTGTTTAAGTCTCTTATTTTAAAAGATAGAAATTAAAGAGATAAAATTAGCAATAAATTGCAAACTATAAAAACAAAAGCCTTAACTTTCATACCGTAAGGACAAAAATTGTAAATTTAAAACCATAGAAACGAAAAGTATTATTAACAAATCCCCTGAACCAAAATTATGATTTGTTTTTATAAAAATATTATTCTCAAGCTATTAAGGTCATCAAGATAAAGTTTTAATTTACAATCACATCTTTTCTTTTTTAAGCATACATTATTTATATACAGTAAAATAGAACAAATAAACTCACATACCTTTTATACATTTGATGAGATTTGAATTTTTGACCTACTAAGAGACCAATGACTCATAAACCGCTAAGTCAAAGGCCATTTGATTACATCATCACATCTTCTTGAATGGAATGGTAAATAGCAGCAAATTTTGATATACCATAACGTAAAGTTAAGGTTTATGATCAAATTGGTCCATTGCAATTCTAAGTTTAAATCGTTGTCAACAAGAATAAAAAGAAGAAAATAACTTAAAGTTTATATAGATGATAACATAGGTATGTCTCAGCAATTCAATAAAGCTGATAACATTTCAATTTCCAGATCGAAAATATAGTATTGGAGTAAGCTTTGTTTTATGGATGACCTGACTAAGCGATCAAAATGATATCTACATTTGGGGTTTGCGATTTAGTATGGCAAGAATGGTTCAAAATTTATCAGTAAAACATAATTTTCAATTTATTTATAGAGTAAATTACAATTTTCATCCCTGTGGTTTAGAAAGTGTGATCTTTATTGTCGGATGTGATCTTTATTGCCGGAGTTAGGCCTTTGTATGACGGATTGATTGATAGTAGGATCAATGATGTTTAGTTTCATTCAGGATTGACATGCCCCAGGTTTGAAGAATTCGATGGCAGGCCTTCGCTGCAAAAGATCCTGGAATTGGTCGATTCGGAATCGGCTGGATTGGAGGAATCCGGAGCCACAAGGATCTTCAACGGGTTCAAAAGTCTTTTGATTCCAGGCGGCCGGCCCAATTCTATGGGCTTCGCTATAATTCGAACCGGCATTTCCTTTTACAGATAATTGTTTGTAATTTATTGTTATTTTCGTCTTTGAATTAATTCATCCATTTAAGTATGAGGGCTAAAAGAATAAATAATTGTAAACCACAAGGACCAAAAACAACACTAAATTGTAAATCATGAGAATTAAAATAAAATGAATTACATACGATAAGAATCAAACCTCGATTTCTAAACCATAAAGATAAAAATCACATTTAACAAACAACATGCACGAAAAACATAGTATATTCATTTTTGTATCGTGAAAGATTAATAAATCATTCTAGAAAAAGAAAAAAAAAGAAACTCACGCATATAATCAAGCGTTATTTATGACCACTTTATAATTAATCAAGTGAGGAAGAAATTGTTTTTTTAATGATCTATAACAATTAATCAAATAAGAACTCAATAATTTATAATAACTTTGATATTCAGTATAAATTAACTATTTAATTCTATTGATTTTATTTAATAATTAAACATGAAAGGTTATAATGATAATTTAATTCTTTGACAACTTATACCTAAAATGATGACTCGAACCACTTTCTATCTCATCTCCTAGAATCATAACCATACCCATCTACCACTAGGACCAAGAAAATCAACTATAAGGGTGGTGTTTGATTGATTTGAGTTTGGCTCTAAAGGTCAAAAGTATTTGAAGGTCTCAGATTCAAATTCAATGAGGAATAAAAATCCCTTGTGACCACGGAGGTCAGATCGAGCTAACAACGAGTCAAATATAGCCGACGATAAAGGGTTTGCAGTAAATCCGGCCAAAGACGAAAATATCTGCGGTGAAACAGGTCTCTGGTATCAATCGAGGCTGTGAAGCGATCGATTTCATTTGTTATTGGGTGTTTTTTTTCCTTGATCGGTTGTTAATCTTGAACAAGAGTTATTTTTTCTTAATTTTTTAATTTAGATTTAGATGGATCAAGGTGTATTTATGGGTTTTGCGAAGGACATCGGGATGTATCAAGGTCTATTTCTTGCTGCCAACCCTATAGTGATACACTATTTTGCATAATGTGATGCAAAGTTTATCATAGTCTGTTTTTGGCTATATCTTTTTTTTTTAACACTCTGCATCTTGGGATATCACATTGTGCATATTATATATATATATATATATATATATATTGGGTATCACAATATATCGTTTTTATGTATTTTTTAAATGGTATAGATTTTTTATCTATCACAGTATATCTTGCGTTCATATGGTATTCGTTATAGTAAAGTTCGCCAGAAAGAAAAGAGATATTTACAAGAAAAAACTACTTTATCTTTTCATATTATCCACAAATTTAATGTTTTTTTGAAAATTAATATGATTACCAAAATTAATATTTTTAATAATAGTCATTTATCTATACTATCTTATAAAGCATTTGGCTAAAACTCTTAAACCCGTTCATCCCTATACGATTTCATCCCATATCTGAATTCGTGTAACTAACTGCAAATAAACACAATCAAAGACAAAATAAACATCTTATTTTAAATATAAAAAATCTAAAATATAATTAGGATAATCATTTAGTTCTAACAGAATACTTAATTATTATCTTTATAAAATGTTATATTATTAAACCAAAAATAAATTA